TTTGTCAGAAAGAAGACCAGAGATCAGGTTTTGCAGCAGCATTTCACTACTACACTGAAGAGTAATAACGCAGATGTGATTGTACTTAAATTTCAATTAGAAATCTGTGCAAACAAAATGAGTACTTCTTTTTGACTGACAAGTTCAAACAGACAAAGATACCATTTCGATGGGATAAATTGGAAGGAGTGATCTTCACTTTTAAACAACAGAGGCTCAAACTGAATTCAGTCCAAAAAGCAAGATAATTTCTAGAAAAGTTTAAAGGGGAACTGGAAGAAATGCAGATGGAAATGACAAAGGGCCCCAGCACTCTGCACCCTAAACAGCTACAAGAAGAAACTGAGGAAACTACCACTCTAGGCATTACAGATATTGACTTTTCTAAGTTTTTGGCATAAATATAGATTTTAAATGCCTAACGTGGAATATAAATGGAGCAAATGCTCCTCAAAAAAAGAAGAAAATTATTTCATTATTTTAAAAAAATTGAAACAAGATGTAGTTTGTCTTTTAAGAAATACATGTTAGAAAAAGGGATATAAAATATTTGATCTGCAAAAAATTGGTTTAAGAATTTATTTCAGCAGGAGTTAAAAAGAGAAATGGAGTTGTTTTGTATATAAAACCTCAACTGCAGCTAGAACTGATATTGATTGATGATTATGGGAGATATGTGGGGGTGGAAGCTACTTTGCATGAGGCCAAGACTTTGATAGTGGGAATTTATACTCAAAATGAGGATAAAATATCCTTTTACAAAGGACTTGGACAAACTAATGGACTTAGCATATGAAAATTGGTATTTAATGGGAGATTGGAATTGAGTAATTTGTCCCCAAAAGGACAGGACCTCTGAGAAAGTTATTAAAAAACAAGGTAAATTAGCAAAAAGTTTTTTTTGACATGATGGACAATCCAGAGCTTATAGATGCATGGAGATACAAAAATGGTGATGCAAAAGAATACACTTATTCTTCTGAAAGACACAGATCTTTTTCAAGAATTGATATGTGTTGGA